TTTATATAAATATTTTTTTTGGGGTATTTTAGCTAGTTCCAATTTTTTAGAAAAGTCAAAGGTCATTTTTGAAATATGACTTGGTATTTAGGCTCTCTATGCATATATCCTCCCCCTCTATGTTCGCGTCGCTGTTGCTGCCGGAATTTAAGACCACCACTGACCCCAAAAAATGAATTTAAAAAATGAAAAATTATCAACAAAAAAATTCTTCATTTTTCTGTGTTTAAAATTAATTATAAGTAAATTTAAAGTTGTTAAGAGAAGATTGATGATTTTTCTTTTTTTCCCAAATTTAGAGACTTCGATGATGGATTATTACACCGCAAGAAGATGATGATTTTGGTGCACGTGCATATCTTTCTCCATTTCTTTATTGACTTTTCAGGCTATTGCTTTTAAAAGAGAATTAATTAGGTGTTTTTTATTTGGAATAAGTTTTAATGATTTAGGATTATGTTTGGCGCATATAAAAAATTTAGGTATAATTTTTTTTTTTAAAAAAAAGTTTGGGTATTGCAACTATAATTATTTCTTTTTAATTTTGGCATTTTTCTTATTTTTAAAAGCAAATTTGACGGATCTTGACGGTAGGGGTATTTCGTATAAAATGTTTCAAATGGGTGGGGTGGGAATGAAAACGTTTTTATGGAATTTTCTGCTATTAATCCAAACTTTTAACCTTAGAGGCATTTTAATCAAAAAACTTTGATTAACTAGACTTTTTGAACTAAAATTTCTTTCTTTGAGCCCCATTTTCAAAAACTCATTTTTGACCACATATTTTTTAATAAAATAATTTTACGTGTGAATCGAAATTTTTTTCTTACTTTTTAACCACATATTCTCCAAAAAATCACAATTTAAAATATTTTTTTCCTCTAAAATACAGCTCAAACAAGGGTTTAATGTTAATCATATACTTTGTAGGACCAACAATGTTAATACTCCCTTATTCATTATTATTATTATTATTATTAATTTCTTACACGTAATATATTTAAACAAAGAAAATGAAACACACGAAACAAGGCTATACCTACCTCACCAAGTAAACGTTACCTTAACCTCGAAGTGTCAACGCAGAATCATCGGCAATACGCGATTTCTCACCTCACCGCCTCACTCTCCTCGAATAGCGTGCCGTGTATGACGCCTCCTTGTATTTGTATAAATTGAACACACGGGATTGAACATATCTTGCATAGCTTTGGATCCATTCAAATATACAACTCCTCTCACAAACCCTAATTTTGTGGTCATGGCAGAAACAAACCCCGAATCTCAACCGGAAGTTGTAAGAATTCGACCCCTCCTAGGTTTCTATTTCTTTACTGTTTGTTTTCATTTCTATGATTTGTAGTTGAGGTGTCATTTTGGATGATTTTTGTTAATAAGATGGAGGAGAGCGAAGAGCAGAGGATGAAACGTTTGGAATTCGTGCAAGTTGCGGCGTTCCATGCGGTGATTTTTGCTGCAAAGGTCTACAATTACGCCAAGGACAAATCAGGGCCTCTGAAGCCCGGAATTCAGACTGTCGAGGGCACCGTCAAGACCGTCGTTGGACCCGTCTATGACAAATACCATGGTGTTCCCGTCGAACTTCTCAAATTTGCTGATCGCAAGGTAATTTTCTAATTCTATTTTTTATTATTTTATGGAATTAACTGTAATTTTGCCTTTAAATAAACCATTTGCATCAGGATTGGAATCTTAATGGGTCTAACCCTTGTCGAGATTAATCTTATTTATTGTGATTTTATTACACCACGTTAAAAAAATAAAATAAAATATCACTGTTTAAATGGTTTGAAGGGGCATTTTTGCATTAATTTAATTCTTTCATATCATTTTTTGTCACGATTATTGTATTAAAGCCAAAGTTCTTGTATGATTCTTGAGTAGTTACATATAATTAGATAATTTGACTACTGGAATTTCTTTTAGATTATATGTAATCAAGGAATAATCCACTCATTCATGGGGTTGAATGCTCTGCTGGAATGGCTGTTAAAGAATTCATTTTCCAGGGCATTCATATCATTCTGAATTCATTGAGAATATTAGAAATGACTGCAACAACTTTTGCAGATGAGATAGATATATTAATTTCAGCCTGCGCCATTGTTAATGAGAATTTTAGAGATTAGCAATTATGTTTGTAGGTAGATGAGTCGATGAACAAGGTACAGAGTCATGTCCCTGCGGTTCTAAAGCAGGTGTCGACCCAAGCTTTCTCGACTGCTAAGAAAGCTCCTGTAGCGGCTCGCTCAGTCGTGACAGAAGTCAAAACTGCCGGAGTTGTTGAAACCGCCTCAGGTCTTGCGAAAACCCTGTACACCAAGTACGAACCTGCTGCCAAGGATCTGTATTCCAAGTACGAACCAGTAGCTGAACATTTAGCAGTTTCAACCTGGTGCTCTCTCAACCGGCTCCCGCTCTTCCCTCAGGTGGCTCAAGTTGTCGTTCCAACAGCCAGTTATTATACTGAGAAGTACAACCAGACTGTTCAACTTTCAGCTGAGAAAGGGTACAAGGTTGCATCATATCTTCCGTTGGTCCCAACAGAGAAGATCGGGAAGGTATTTAGCGTTGATAAAACCGAGCCTGTGGTTTCGACAGGAGGAGCTGTTGAAGCAAATTGATGCTGCTTCCATTTATACGCTACAAGAATGTTGTGAATCGTTACTGGTATATGAACGAATATTTGTTTTGTATTGTTATTTTTCTCTCTTAATTCTATGTTTGTATGCGTTTATTTGATAATGCGCGATTTGCCACTCTGGTCCTTTCTTCTGTTGCCTATTATAGACAAGACACGAATAGATTAGTGAATGAAAACGGGAATTCCATCTACATTTAATCCATAGGGTTGGGTTTGTTATCGACCAACCAATCTACACGTGAGTGTCTTCAGATGAATTAAAGGATTACCTTGAACCTATACACTAATATATTGACGTTGATTTCGAAGTCTTACGTCGGAAGTGAAAAATAAAGACGACAGTCAAGTTGGGCTTTTTTTTATTATAAATTCTTTAATATAAAGTAATTAAACTTGAGTTTCGATCTTATGATCAATCGGTTAAAAGCCTATCAATCCTATCATTGAACTATCGAGGAAGTAGATCTCGTAGGCTTGCATTAGGGGAAGGCAAGGAAAGGAACATGACTGAGACTTTCGTGGTCACATGAGGCTGCAAATAATGTGGCTTTTGACCTTTTGCCTGCTGCGAATCTTAGTGGGTTTAAATCAATTTTGGGGACAGAAATGGGATAGGCCCAATATGAGTTGGCCCATGGGAATAGATCATTATTTGCATATGTATACAGCAGGGGATTTGCACGAGTAACATTACAGGAATCCACGTGACAATTTCTCATTGGGTGTTGGGCACAAAATTTTTTTTTAAAAAAAATCCGTACAGGTGCTAACAACTTATTCCTCATTTGCATGCTTCTCTATTTGAAACAAACCAAAAATGTAGTGACGAAGACAATTTTTTACCGTTCCAATAGATCATTGTATATTTGTATTTTTAGTTTTTAGCAATCATTTCTGTTAAAAGAACATGTAAACTGCAAGTAGTGCAAAAGAAGGTTAAAATAGAGAGCCTTGCACAAAATTTAACTACTTGGCCAGTCCACAAAAGGCATAAGCACATTTAATTCCTGTTTGGTGTGATTTAAATGTTTGCTAAATTTTTTTAATTAAAATCAATAATTAATTTTAATCATACGCTTGTCATTTACACATTTCATCCATTTTTATCAAAATAAATATACTAAAAATTCGATTTTTAACTACACCAGACCTTAAATGGGTTCCGTTCACATGTCGTGATAAAGTTTTGAAGTCTTCAACCTATTTGCAACGTTACAAATTGATCCATCCTAAGCTTATATGACAAAAGTCATCCCCAACCTTTTCACATTTATAGCAAGTTGGTTACAACGATGAATTTAGATATTGATTTGAATAGTTTATAAAAGCGCGTTGCATAATAAATAAGGGAGAATAGTAGGAAATCCCAAATTTATGTGTGATATTACAAATTTGTCTCTAATTTATATTCTTTACTAAAGTTGTCCACAATCTTAACAAGCAAAATCAAGTATCAAAACAACATTTATCTGACAAATTAACATTTGAAGCACTCCAATAAAGTCTTAGAGTGCTCTTCAAGGCTCTCTCACAAAGAAATAAGCCCATCATTAGCAAACATCACGCCATATAAATGATAACTAGCAAAATCTTTTAAGATCCATCAACTTCGTAGTCCATGTGAAACTCTTTATTACTACTTATTCTACACAGTCCTTGATGAATGATAATGTCAAGCCTTCTTTACTTGAATCAGTTATAGCTCTTATTTAGGAAGGTTTCGACGGAGAAGATGTAAGGGGTGTGATTCTATTCTAAATAAGGGTTTTTGCTGTGTGTATATAGCATAATGGACAAATGTGGATTTTGCTCTAAACAGTGATGGATGATTAGTGTAAATATTACATTTATCTTCTTTATCACAAAAAAAGGTAGATTATGTTGGCCTCCCCCCTCTTCTTATAAATCGCACATTTTTAAATAAAATAATATTACATGAAAATCTAAAATTATTATTTTAACCACACATTCTTCAAAAAAATACTATTCCAAAGTTAGATTATGATAAATACTCAAACACATAATATACTTTATTATTTGAGATCAATGTTGGGAGAAGGACGGGGCTTGGCTGGGGTAGGGTAGGGTAGGGTAGGGTAAGGTAAGGTAAGGTAGGGTAGGATAGGATAGGGTAGGCCAGGGCATAATGATCGCTAGTGGTCAGTATCCCAGCTGTAGTTTGGTTGTCAAGAGACTATAGTGAGCATAAAAAAATAGAAAGAAACAAACTTTTAGGACAAAACTCACATTAAGAATTCTAATACATGTCATCTAAAGATTATGATATCCTTTCCCAGAATTTCTTCAAACCCAATAGAGAAAAGATGCAAAATTGGACCTTTTTTACTTTAAATCCCAATACCATAATCAATGCCTAAAGCAGAGTCTTCAAAAGGCAAGTTCCTGATTGATTCACAATGGCAAAATCAACAGAGGAGAGAAATTTCTGAGAACTATTTCCGTAAACATTCAGAACATACACATTCCGACTAATGAACAAGGTAGGGGATGAAGATGAAGTAGACTAAGCGCAGGGTTGTGCATCAAAGGTATTGGATTGCTCATCTGAAAACCCAATTATTCACAATCCAATTTGAACTTGTGCAAGATGGTCATCAAGAGAAATTCATAAAAACATAACAAAAAATTCAATGCATTCGCATCCTTAATATCTCGCAAAATACCACAAATCAAAATACCCAACATTACAGCGAATACAAATAATGAAATAACCACAAGATGCAAGAAGACACAACCAATTCCTCCATAAGCTATAGCTAGCAGAAGAGGTGCAATCAAGCAGTTTATCACCCAAGATCAAGCCAGGTTGAGTGTTGCAAGAATCCCTGAGGTACATATAAATTATTCAAATTTTAACCACATCATTCAACCAGGATCCAGAAATCAAAATACCCAACAATACAGCAAATTTAATAGATAATGAATTAGTATTCACATAAATTATATAAGTTGTCCATGAAAAACAATACATATATAAATAACCACATTGATTCACCAAACACCCATTCTTCAAAAAAAAAAAAAAGGTTAAAAAACTGATAAATAGTCCAAAGTATTAGAGGAATAGTAGTAATACTGTAGAAATCTCAGCTCCTGCAACGAGTGATGGCGCTGCAACCACGGGTGTAGGGATTGGCCTGAGCACCGGGACGGCAGTTGTAGTAAGAGGCGCCGCGTCGAGAGCAGGGGACTCTGTTCTTCTGGAGAGCACCATAGCTAATGTAGCGGCGAGTGGCTAAGATACGCCTATTCGACTCCGAATCGAGCTGGAACTCCTCCTCCTCGTCGGTGTTTGCAAGGCACTCGGCTATGGTCCCTTTGCAGCTGGATCTCATAATCGGCATCAACCACCCCACATCCGCCGACGCGATGTCAGCACCAGCTGAAGCTTGGGAAATCAACAGAGATTCAACTATGCAGAGAGTGAAAATCATTGAAGTCAAACTTCTTCTTTCCATCATATTCAGAAGTGTTGAAATGCAATCTTTGCTTGGTTTTTCGTGGAGTATTTCACCTGAGTTTTCTCAGACTTGTGATTGTGTGGTGTGGCTGCTCTCTATGGATATCTGTACGTATACCTTGAAGGGGATAAAAATCAAATGCAAGGGAGTTTAATTATTTTATAGATGAAATTTGATTAATGGTACCGACGAATACTTATTTATTTATTTATTTAAAAATTGAAAACGACCGTTGAGGTTGATACTTTTTGCACAACAAATTCTAGTTTTTAAGTATTTTTTTTAAAAATTTAATACACAAAATGTTGTTAACAAAAAAGAAAAAAAAAAAAAAAAACTTTAGAACTGTAAGTACGCTTTACTTAGCATCTCGATTGGAGTTGCAATGGACTTGAGCTGCTCGCTGACTAAGTGGGTTGGCTCGCGAGATCTTGGTTCGATTAGTTTCTCCTTGAGCTCAAATTTCCCTCAAGCAAGACGTGCCAAGCTAACACTAGTGCTTGTGAACCCTGCCCCATGGGCCCTCTCTGCTATTTTGAAATTTAAATTTCAAAATATTTTTAAAACCGTTAGCATTTTTATGTTTAGCGGTTGTTTGGGGCATATTTTGGCTAGATTTTAATACATATTTTGATCGTTTGAAAGGATAGTGAGATTCAGTTGTGTAGTAATTACTGACTGCACATGAAGTAAATTAC